TGTGTGTGTGTGTGTGTGTGTGTGTGTGTGTGTGTGTGTGTGTGTGTGTGTACGTGGTTAAAGACCAAACCAGTATGCCAGGATCTGGACAATGAAGATTTATCTCATCTCATCTGATTACATCTCATCTCATATCACCTCATCTCATATCTTATCTTATCTTATCTTATCTTATCTTATCTTATCTTATCGTTATTTTATCTTAACCTGTGCATAATACCAACCCGTTTCATGGACTTACTCTTCAAATCAAAATCACAGACTGAAACCAAAGACACTTTCTATCCAATACGGTTCGCTGGTTCGGTAGTTCAGAGACTAGCCCTAGAGTCATCAGCTAGACCTAGGAGCAAATACCAAAGCCAGAGACTGTAGTAAGTTTGTATGTCGTCACCACCCACAGAGACTTTGGCAGCCAAGTACCATGACAGCGTTCCAAAGACAACATTCTACGAGATGGTTCTATTTCGTAATAAACTCTCTACGCTGTCTTGGCAATTATCGTTACGCTTGAATCACAAAGTTCTATTTGAACAGTAGGTCTGCCTAATTCTGAGAAATTTGATTTTTTTTTAAAAATGAGTTTCACAATATGTCAAAATTCTTCGAATACAATCATTGAATGTCTTGATAACTTAGTAACTAAAAGAAAGTAAAGTGAAAAAAAAATGTCTGATATTATATCTTTGTAATTCGGAGGTAGCGATATCCTACATTTAGGAATTCAATAGATGTTACGCTCTATGAAATGGACGCATTGTAAATGTATGCGCTTGTGTGTCGACGTACACTAGAGTTATGGGAGCCTATGGGGAAGAAGGCACAGGGGTGAAAAACTAGCTCTTCTTTCAGATCTCTGCGAAAGGCATAGCGACACAAGGCTTGAGTAGACTTTTTCACATCTTTACTATGACATGGCTGTTTTTTTCGATATAGTCTCTCTCTCTCTCTCTCTCTCTCTCTCTCTCTCTCTCTCTCTCTCTCTCTCTCTCTCTCTCTCTCTCTCTCTCTCTCTCTCTCTCTCAT